TTGAAAATTATTATTTTTTTCATTGATCTTTTTGATTTAATTACATATTATTGTTTTATTATGTTTAGTTTTCACCCCGCGCTTCGCGCGGGGTTTTGCGGCACGCGTCTCGTGGGGAATCAAAGGTTGCTGGGGTCTGCACCAGTAACATAAACCTATTTATATCTTCGCGACAATAGGCATACATGCCTTCCTCTGCAGCAGCAAAAACATCCACGTTGACCAGAGGTAAGGAGTTCTCTCCATTTTTCCTTGTGACAAACATCAACGCACATCAACTACTAGGGAAAATTAACTACAGGAAAAAAATGAAGGGCTGCAGACGACACCACTCAATCCTCTAAAATAAAAGGGTAAACGAGTAAAAGGGAAAATTTGAACAAAATTTAATAGAGAAATACACAAAATTTATGATAAAAAAATATTTCAGACAATTTTCTCAAAAAAACTGGATGAAAAAAACTTTTTAAAAATATTTTATTGTCCAATAAATTAAATTTATGTTTTCGTCCTCTCAAATTTTAGTTATTCATTTTAATTATATCGATGCAACGAATTGATCCTCTCATGTCACGAGTGATAAATGCAAATCTCATTCTCGGATTATTAATGTTGGCAATTTCGTATCTTGTAGATTTTTTCCCAAAAACATCTAATTCCCCGATTTCAACATTTTTTGCTCTCTCTGGTAATCTGTAATTTTGGAATGACATAAAATCTAGCTCAATTTTAGTAATCATTTTTGAAAAGTCTGTAGCTGTTGTTATATACTAAAATTTAAATTTATTTTTGACCTTAACCGAATAATTAACTTCTACAATGAGATCATAAATCCTTGTTAAATTGCCACGTCTTAAACGAATTCGTGGAAATTTATCTCCTTCATTTGTTAAAATATTGAATAGAATATTTATATATTGCTCTGCATTGTCAGCAAAATCAATTATAAGATAAATAGAATTTGCTAAATGATTCAAAATGAAGTCCACCATATTTTCAAATATATTTTTGGTAGGAGATAGAATCGGTATATCAACATGAAATTTAGGTAGAATTGTCTTATCATTGTAAAATAATATATTAAGCATTTCTGGATTAAACACAATTTTTTCAAAATCGCAATGATCAAAAAAAGATTTAAGAAGTTTTTCTAACCAGCAGCGAACAATAATCATTTCTTCAATATTTTTTGGAATTGTTGGTAATTTTAAAAGATAATTATTATCATCAACTAAATCTAAATGAATTAAAACTTTTTAGGGTTTATAGGGTTTAATGTAATTACCGTATTTTCTCTTGAAAAATATCAATGCCAAAAAATAATTAAATATTTTATGGGAGGGGGGTTATTTTAGAGGGGGGGGGTTATATTTTTCGATAGACTTCTAGAGGGGGGCTATTTTAGAGAAAATACGGTATTTTATGTATTGGTAAATATTTTCAAACCGAAAGTTTCGAGACAAACTATTGGTTTTATGTCAGATTCACTTAAATACACCGGAATTGATGCATCTATCGCTGCCTGCCACTGAAAAAGTAGAATGTAATTTGATTAATGAAAATTAATTTATAACCTTCTCCCTAAGTTGATCGTTTAAAGTAAATTCAAAAACTCCAGATTGAGGTTTAATAGACTTATATTCAAAATATATTTTTTTATTTTCATCAATCTAAAAAATTGGAAAAAAAGTTCTTTAAACAAATATTTACTATTGAGAGTTTATGAAATTTCCTTCGTGCCAATTCCCCCTCATATTTTTTAATTAGATAGCAAAAGTAAAAATTTGTTTGTTTAACAGGGATTAATTCGTTGAAATTAAGATATTTTAATATATAAAGTTGGACTTCAAGTGGTAACGAAAGCATTTTAATTATCTGAAAAAGTAATAAAAAACTATTATAAAACAGGAAAAGTAAAATAGGAAGAGTAAAAGAGGAAAATTCAAAATTTGGCACTTTATTTGATGCCTTTATTATATGAGGAATAAAGGGCGGGGAGTAAAAAAGATCAACTATGTACAGGTTTATAGGTTAAGAAAAGGTTAAATAACAAAATATGGATAGGCATAAATTCAAATAATGTTTTGGGGAAATATTGTAAAATAATTAAAGAAAAGATATTTAAAAAAATTTTTTTGAGGGAATAATTTGAATAAATGAGGGGAAATTTAGAATAAAAACAACTGGATCGACGAAGAATATTAACATCCTAAATATCGTTGAACTAAATATCTTATTATTTTATTTTTAATAAATATTTTTAAACGAAACTAAATTTCGTTTAAATATTTTCTGTTTTTCATTTATTTTCAATTAATCTTTTTTATAAATTTATTTGTACCAATTTTTAACAGGTTAAATCATTTCAATTTATTTTTAAACATATCTTGTTGTGTTTAAACAATTTTCAAATTTTCCCCTCTCATTTGAAAATTAACATTTAATATAGTAAATTATTGAGTTTGCAGGGCATTCACAAAACGTTTTTAAAACGACGCCCATTCTGTTTAATTAGGCAATGAGAATGAATAAAGGAGAATTAAACTTATAAAGGCAAAAATTTCTTTTTCCAACATTTATTTGCCATTCAGTTATTTTACTATGGATGAACATTCCTAAAAATTAAAGCATTTTTCACATACTAGTTTTCGAATTTTTGTTTTTATTTTTCATTTATTCAACAAAATTTCATGGGATAATGACATCTCTTGCCTCCGTTTTTTGAGTAGATAATTTACATCCCAATCCGACTAGTGAACTTGCAAATCTGACGACTTTTGTTTATTTTTTTTTATTTATCTCGAGATTTTTCCACTATTTTTAGACAATCAAAAATGTATTCTCTTCCAACTGAAGCAAAACTTGATGTATTAAAATATCTTAATTTTGATCAATTAACTTCTTTTAAATTAACAAATTTCTACTTTTACAATTTAATTAAAAAATATGAGGGGGAATTGTGCTTTCGAATAAAATTTTACGAACTCTCAATAGTTAGTATTTATTAACTAAGTAAATTTAAATAAAATTTCAGGATGCTTATCTTCGAGAGTTAGATTCATACGAATTAATTGAACCTGGACCTGTAGTTGAATATTGTTTAAATCATCAACTGAAGAAGCAGGTAAAAAATGAAAGTTTGGGTTCTTCATTTTTTCATCCAAAAATCTTCCCTTCTCTCTATTAAATCTGAGAAAAGATTCTTTAACTGTTAATCAAATGAAATAGGGTCAAGAAAGAATCAAATAGTTACATTCTGGATTTTTCTTTAAGAATTGAAAGAAATAAACGTTATATCTTGGGGAATATTAACGATCTTTGTATTAAGTTGGAATTTTTCTCTTTTTATCTTTGATATTTGGCTCCAAGAGCTTCGACCTCATTTTATAGATGCCAATTCGTAGTTAATTAATAACCAATTCGTATTTGAAACATATCCTAAAAGTATGAGACATAAATTAATTTTATTTCAGTGGCAAACAGCTATAGATAGATACGCTCAGTTATTTTTATATAATTCTCAAAACTTGGAGTATATATTTAACAGAAGCTTTCCTGAGTGTGACGGAGTCTTTTTTATTTATATTGAAAGGACGTTTAACTATTCATTAGACAACGAACCTCATTATTATATTTTAAAATTGCCTACTTTTCCAAAAAATATAGAAGAAATGATGGAAATGCGTTACTGTTTGGAACAACTTTTTAATTGTGTTTTTGAATATTCTTTATTTGATGAAATTGTATTTAATCCAGAAATGATTAATTTATTATTCAACGACGACAAAACAATGCCTCTTCAATTTCATATACTAAAACCAAACTTATTTCCGAGCGAAAATACATTTAAAAATATCTGGAAGTTTTCTTCAAATCATTTAACTATTTATGACTGTATTAGCATCAACGCGAACAAACTTTCTTATGTCCGTTCATATAGAAGATTATTAAATATTTTAACAAATGAAGGCAATAAATTTTCAAAAATATTTTTAAAAAATGTTAGTGTAAAATGGCTTTATACTAATATTATTGAAGTAAGTTATCTATGGAAAAGTTTTTATTTATTTATATTCCATATGTTTTTTGAAAATTCCCCTCTATAAAATTAATTTGATGGGAGATGGAATAGTAGACCTGTCACGGAATGAACCAGACAAGTCACAAACAACTTATATTGGGACTGGGCCATTAGGGCGCGGGCCATTAGTGCGCGGGCCATTAGGGACCATAATTTTTCGCGGTCTATCGACTATAACTTCAGAAATATTCGATGAAAAAATTCTGAAATTTCTGGAGGAGGTAGTCAAAGATGTTAAAGAAATTTGAGAAAATTTTCATAAATTTCGGTTTCGCCTAAGTGTCAGTTTCTAGTGCTGGCGCCCTAATGGCTCCGCGCCCTTATGACCCCAACCCCTTATATTAAGTTCGTCTCACTTAATGAAGTCTAGAGATTTTCTTGTCTTTTTCGATTGATAAGATGTCAAATCAAAAATGAGGGAAACATTTAAAAAAATAAGAAATAAATATCGTTATCTTCAAGTGGCTTAAAAATAAATTTAAATTTTTAGTATATAACAACATCTAAAGACTGCTCAAAGATGGTGCCTGTTATTATTTTTGATTTTTATACTTACGGGACTTTTGAATTAAGTGAAAAAGCAGAAAAAGTTGAAGTTAAACATTATGCGAATTTAAAATCTACGAGTTATGAAATTGCTAATATTTACAATCCAAAAGAGAGATTCTCATTTTGCAATGAAGAATGGAATGATGGAACAGTTTTTAAGCTTAAAATCAGGAAAATGAAGGAGTAGAATTTAAGAGAATGCAATGAAATATTTTTTAATTATTTTTTTTCAGTGACTTTTTTTGATTAAATTAAATTTTCGGTTTATAAATTTATTTGTATTACATTTTCAGATGGTTAAAGCCTGCAAATTTATTTTTAAATATTTTTAAATTATAAAAATTTAGTTAATCTTTTAGTTTTTCAAAAAATGTTTTATTCTTTACCAACAGAAACAAAACTTGATATTTTTAAGTGTTTTAATTATCAACAATTATGTTCAATCAAACAAACGAATTTATATTTTCGGGATTTTATTAATGATTTTCAGGGAAAACTTGCTCGGGAGGAATTTTATGGAATTTCTATTGTAACATTTTTAGTTAATTTGTAAATTTTTTTCTCTTCAGGATTTGTGTCTGGATTTAACAAACAATAAATTAATTAAACCTAAAGCTGAAGATTTTGACTTTTTGTTAAATGAACACCTTGAAGAGAAGGTTAATAAATTAAAGTATTCAAACATTTTCTTTTTAGTGGAAAAATGGATTGAAAACTTCGATTCCTTTGTATTTACCTCAAGATGCAGCTCGAAATACTGTTATTTGTTTGAATAAAGGTTGAATTTTATTTTTAAAAATTTTTTGATTTTATTTTTATACACAACAATTTGTGTTCATAGTGCAAAAGGCCGTGATTCACGATGCGTTTCGCGGAGTATCATAATCCTATTCCTATCAGCGATGAGGTGGGCTCTCCTCCGTAGCAGCAAAGCTCAACGGATACCATAGATAAATTGATAAAATTAGGCTTACTCCCCCCTATGGGTTTTCGTTTTTAAGGACCTATATCTCGGCTCTTAGGCATTTTTGCAAATAGATTGTGGTAAAATTCAACTCAGCTCGATGAGACGAATTGAATGGTACCTGTTTCATGTATTTTTTCTACGTCCGCTAGATAAAGCCTAATTTTTTAGGTTTTAGTAAGCCCTAATTTTTTTAGGTTATGACACTGGATGTCATATACTTCAACTACCAAAAATGGTTAAAAGTAAAGAGCACATCAAAATTGTTTATTATTATTTAAATAAATTATTCAATTGTTCTTTTAAATGGTGCGACTTTCATAAATATATATTCAATCCAGAATTGATTCAATTATTATTTGGAACTGCTAAACAATTTTATGTACAATCATGCAATCGTTTAGCTTATCAATTCAGTATTGAACTATTATTCCAATTTGTTTGGAACAATTTAGCTACTGGAATTCTTAGAATTAATTTTTTGCTAGAACAAGACGTTATGAAAAAATATATAAATATTTTATGTAAAATTTTAATAAACGGAGAAGACAAATTTGGAAAAGTTGAGTTGAGGTTTTATTCTTTTTTCGGAGGTTTGGCTCATGGTACAAATGCAACATTACTTTATGATCAGATTGTTGAAGTAATAAGTTTTTTTCAAACATAAAAATTCTAAATTCAATTTTAAGTATATATCAACATCTAAAGGTTGTGCAAAAATGTTGCCTGTCATTACTTTTGAGTTCGCAAATTCCACAAGTTTCAAATTAAGTGAAAAAGCCGAAAAGGTCGAATCTAAACAATTAAATGGAGTTAAATATACAAATTATCAAATATCCAATATTTACAATCCAATGGCAAAATATTTATTTTGCAATGAAGAAAGGAAAACTTCAAGGGCTTTTGAAGTTAAAATTGAAATAACAAAAGTAGAATTTGAATGACGAAAATAAAGTTTTTGACTTATTGGAGAACTGTTCTACAAATTTTTTGTTTTTCATTAATTATGTAGCTTTATGTAATTTATTTGATTACAATTTGTAGCATAAACTTTAAATTTCATTTTATGACAAATATATACTTCAAAATTTGTAGACGAGCTAAACTAGTCTAAAAAATTTAGTTTACTTTTTGAAACAGAATTTCAGCATTTGAATGAATTTTATACATTTTGTTATTGTTGAATTTTAATGTTTAATTTCGTTGAACTTTTTGGTTGTAAAGTATTTTTTCAGAAGTGTTTTGTCTAGAAGTCGATTTAGCCTAGCACGATTTATGAATATAAACGGAATTTTTATTTTATAAGCGACATAAGGCAAGGATACATATTTGTAAATTTTAAAGTTCTTTCTTTAACTTATGACATTTTTGTCTTAATCCTTTCAAACGTCTCTTTCTAATAAATTTTATGTAAATAAACTTATGTAGCTAATACAAAGAAATACAAAAGGGCGGCAAACTGTTTTCATTCATTTTTCCTTTCAATTTATAAAATAAATAAATTCAGTATTATACATAGTTTAATTTTTATAATAAAAATTTCACTATTTTTCGATTTTACAAATCATTCTTTTGTTTCTTAATATTTCAGTATTTTATTATTTCCTGATCATTTCTTTTTGAAATTTTACTGAAAAACTTTAAATCACAATGTTTTTTGATGTCTCTGATAAGGTAATTTTATTTACTATATTTACTCAAATCTTTTCTTCTTAGCTTGATTTAATTAAATGTAAAATTGAATGGAAAATATATGATTTAAAATTACGCAAAGAATTCTTGGCGAGTGACCAAGTTCTAACCAGTATGTTTTTCAAAAATTTTTTTTGCGTTAAAATTAAATAAAGGCAAGAATTTTTACAACCCAAAATGTCCTTCAGTTGTTTGGGAATTACGTATTTACCCGAAAAGTGACGGCATGTATGGAAATTATAGGACCTATGTTTCACTCACTCAAATCGGATTAAAAGAGGTACAAGTTAGCTTGTTAGCTAAATATAATATCTATGCTCATGATATTGAAGGAAAGCGAGTAAATATTTGTTCGTAAGTTATATTTATTAATTATTTATAGTTGATTTTCTTTTGAGGAATAGTAATTCAGTAAATTTTGCACATAAAACCGAAGCTGGTAAATCCGAAATTGACTTACAAAAAGTTTGTCATGCTGATGGTGAGTAGTATATGTATTTAAATTTAATTCTAATGTTCTCATTTTATTTAAAATTTAATTTAAATTTAATTTAAATTTTAAATAAAACTCACTCAAATCGGATTAAAAGAAGCAAAAATAAAAATTGGAAGAAACTTTCAAAAAATATTTTTCAGACATTAACTTTCATTTTTAAAGGTTCTGTTTTACTATATTGTGAAGTTGAATTTGTGCCTCACAACATTAAATGTGTGAATGATAATAATCAAATTGCGAATAATCAAATTGAAAAACGAAATTTGCTTAGAGATTTGTTTTTAACTAGAACGCTTTCAGATTTTGTTATTAAGGTATTTATTAAAATTTTTGAAGGTAAAATTATTTTCTTCTATTTTACAGATTGGAGATGAGAAAATAAATGTCCATCGTTGTATTCTAGCACAAAATAGCTGTGTATTTTTGACAATGTTTGAACAAAATAATATGATAGAAGCAAAAAATGTAAGTGAATCTCGATAAAATGTCATGCTCAAAATCGAATTGGGTTGACTTTATAGGAATTAGAGCGATAACAATGGATAAATCTCATAACTTCTCGGGACTGTCTTATCGAGATTTGAATGTTTTTGAAATATAAAAAATTTTAAAAATAGTGAGGTTGACAATTGGGTTTAATTTTCAAAACTAGTTGACCTTTCTAAAAAATGTAATGACTTGTCCGGTCATAACTACCTACTTAAAATAATTAGATTAACTCTAAATATTACCCTAAACTTTCTAAAATTATAGGGTGAACTCGAAATTGTTGATTCTTCGCCAGAGTGTGTTAAGGCTATGATTGAATATTTCTATCTTGGACAAATTAATACAAGTTTTTTTTATTTTTTCATCTACATCTAAGTAAAATTAAGGCGATTTTTTGGAAAATAATGTTGATGATTTATATGCAATTGCACACAAATACGAAGTATATTCTTTGATGGTTAATTGTGAGAATATTATGGCTTCAAATATTGGTAAAATTAATAAAATGCCATAATGTATTTGTTAAAATAATTTCATTCGAATTACTGTATCTAAGATAATAATTAAAATAAAATTATACTTAATTTTAATAGTTAAGTCTTTTGTTTATTAGTTAAAAAATGGTATCTGATTAGCAATAAAAGAGCAAACTTTAGTAAATGACTGATATAAAATTCTTTAATTTAAAATATTTTTATTAAATATTAAAATTACATTATTAATTTATTTTACAAGATCAAAAAAACTTTGCCAAACGTTGCAGTTTTTCTCAACTATACGGTCTTACAAGTGTAGAAACGGTATAATTTTTATATTTTTATTAACTAATCTATAAATTCATTTTTAACTCGAAAATTTTAAAAGGCTTGTGTTAAATATATTGCAGCCAATCGTAAAAACTTTCTGAACAGCAAAGAATGGAAAGACTTTAAATCTAAAAATAAAAATTTTGCTATTCGTCTAACGGAATCAGCTTTGAAAACTGGTTAGTTTTTGTTTATATATGTTTACAAATTTTGGTTTATTTCCTTTCATAATTATAAAAAAGGATTATAATTCAATATTTTTAGAGTTTTAATTTGAATTTTGTGGCTTGATGATACGGAAGAAATATATTTTAAGAACTTTTTATAAAATTAGCAAAGCATTTTTCGCTTAATTGATTTAAACATTTATTTTAAAAATTGAAAAACTATAATGTTATAATTATAATTTTTGACTGTTATTAAAGAATACCCACAAATTTAGGCTATTTCGATTTTAAGATTTTATTGTAATACCGTTCGTTCTTAAAACAGAAATTAGTACCAAAAGAAAAATATAAAATAAAACGAAAATAATATCAATAAAGTCGACTAATTTCTATATCTTCAATTTTGCGCCGAGGTCCCCAATATAAAATCGAGAATCCAATTTCTGGATTATATTTGTTGGAAATTTGGTATCTCGTTTGCAAATAACGCTCATCTACACGTGCCTCTTCAATCTTTTCAGCTCTTTCATGCAAAGTAAAATTAATATTAAGACAAGATATATGCCTGGTTTGATCAGTTTATATTCAATCCAGAATTAATTAAATTATTATTCGGAACTTCTAAACAAGTATATATCCAAACATGCAAATTGTCTGTTACAGAACAAAATATTGAAAGTTTGCTTCAATTTGTTTTGAATAGTTTAGCTAGTGAAATCCTTCTAATTACTTTTTATTTGAACAAAGACATCATGGAAAAATATAAAGATATTTTATTTAAAATTTTAACAATTAGAGGAGACAAATTTAAAGAAGTTAATATGAAGTCTATTAGTGATCAAGGATTTATGGATACAGTTCTAAATGTAACGAAGATTTATGATAATATTGCTAAAGTAAATTATTCACAAATACGGAAGCTAAACATCTAAAAATTGTTCAAAAATGGTGCCTGTCATTGAATTTACTTTTTTGAATTCTCCAAATTTTAAATTAAATGAAAGAGCAGAAAAAGTTAAAATCAAACAATCAACGTGTTTAAAATATACAAAATACCAAATTTCCAATATTTACAATCCGAACGTTAAAATTCCATTCTGCATTCAAGAGAGTGATTATTTTGAGGATTCTTTCGTTAATATTAAAATAGTGAGTGAGGAATAAGATGAGATGACAAAATTAATTTAAGCATTGTTAATTTATTTTTAAACGCATTTTAATATAAAAAGTTTTAATATATAATAGTTAATGTTGTTTGTATCTGAATTTTTATTAAAATATTTTTTCTCAAGTATTTTATGTAAGAGTATATTATAGCTAGGGAAAAAATTGTGCAGCAATTACTTTTTGCAATCAAAAATGACAGATTTCAAAAATCGAATAGCTAACTGTGGGTATTTACTTTCAACTTCTTTCCATATTTCGCTAATTAACAGACAATCCTGGTTGATACAGACATAAATTTTGCAATTCTATACATAATAAATTTGTCATCAAAAATTTTTTAAATTTACCTTTTCCAAAGCTGTAGCGTCATATAAGTCAATAATACTACAATAATTTAAAAAATTTTCATCATCTGAAAATATATATGAGGTTTTTATAATTTGTTTATTTTCCAATTCACGTATTATTTTGTAATTTATATGTAGTTATTATAATTAAGTACAGTTCAAGTTTATTTTTATTTAAAATTTATTTTGTTATTTTTTTACAATTTTAATTTATTTCAAGTTTTTACAACTTTACTATGTCATGTTTTGTAATTTTCCTTCTCATAAAATGCTTACCAATCAAGTTAGACATAAATACTTCGCATTCATATTTCAACGGTTCCACCTGATATTTATGAGCTATAGCAATAATATCCTCAACTTTACTTTCCAATATACCTTTAGAAATTATGAAGAATTAAACTAAACAATATTTTCAAATAGGAATGCCTTTGTTCACTTTTCCGGTATAGAAAAATTCCAGCATTGCTTGAACACAATCTGAACTAAAATCAGAAATTATGATCTCACCCTGAAATAAATATAAATTGTTAGAACCTTTTAAATGTAAATACCATGTATCGGGCATGCTACTGATTACCTTAATCTAGGACTTTTTTCGGCCCAAAACTGTCATTTTCTATGGGTTTTCCCATAGATGGAAGAAATCTGTCTCCCTGAACTCCTAAAATACTATTAGCCCCCCCCCCTCCCATTTTGTTAAATTCTGAGCCTGCTTACATTTTGTGCTTCAATCATTCCATTTTGCTCGAACATTGTTTGAAATACTTTACTATTATTTGCCAAAATAGAACGATGTGTTTTAATTAAATCTTCACCTATCTAAAAAATATTTATAATTAAATTTAGAATGGTTCACGACCGGTTATGTGAACAATTTTACTTATAGCACATTTTTGGTTTTGATTCGACTCTGAACTGCCCTAATTTAAAAAATTCACCTTAATAACACAATCTGTGAATATCCCTAATTCCAACATGTTACTATATTTGTTTTCTAAGTTATAGATAGGATTATAACAGTCAACTTCGACATCACAATGAATATACAGGGTATCTAAAATTATATTTAATGTCCAAGCATACTAACATACCATCAGTAATACTATAGAACTCATACATTTGGCCTTGAGTATATCCCAATTTTTCTTGATTCTCTAATTTATATGTCGAGCTTAATTATGTAAAAGAATTTTTTGTATAGGTAGTTTAAAAACTTTGCTATATCTTTATATGTGCCATTTATACAAACATAAATTCTGTATTTAGTAGTTACGTCGTTATTTTTGCTATGAGGTCCAATTTGGCGAAGCCAGATAGCATAAGTTCGAGCGTATGTGTCGTCCAGCCAATAGGGTCTTGTAATCCGGTCTTGGAATGTAAAGTATTAAAAATAAATCATAAAGACATCACGAATCCAAGAATGGAGACCACCCTTCACCGCCGAACCAGCAAAAAATAAAACTTTCGTGGGAATTTTGAATTTTGTTGGATTTCTACTTTTAGTATTGATTTCTAATCTTTTTACCAAATACATACAAAATTTGGTATTATAAAACCTCTTTCAAGTATTAGCTAAAGATTACTTACGATATTTAATCTCAAAGCATAATTCCCATTCTATCGCTGTATATTCGTAATTGGAAAATTGATCACCTATAAGCTTTTTAAAAAGTTATTTTTAAATATTACTTGTCAAATTCAGTTTTTCATCTTTTTCAATAAGTTCAATTATCTTATTCACATTTTTGATTGTCCATTTTTTATTGCATTTAATAGTTTTCATTTAAAAGTTTTTCGAAAAATTATCTTAGTTTATTTTGATAAGTAAACCTACAACTTTTGTCGGGAATATCGATAGATTTGGTATGACTGAAGCTGATTCACCCAAAGTTATGGCACACCCAATACCGCGCCATCAGAACTGAATACTTATCTCCATAGATAGGTATTTATTCGTTCAAATTCCCCGATATTCCCTATCAAAAGTTGTATGTTCGATGAACTTTATGGTGTAAATAAGTGAATATTTTCTGTTTATAATTTTAATGTAGGCTAATTTACATTAATGTGACCTAGATATTTTTACTGGGAAGATAGGATATGGTTTGGGTTAAAAAAATGTCTGGGTCACATTGATGTAAACTACCACAAATATGTATAATTGTATGTAGATAATAATAATCATATCAGCGAATTTATTTATATAAATAATTATTGTTTAATATATTAATTTTTTACAATCCGGTACGGAATCTGATGCATTTTATCGGTACTTATCGGTATTCCGTACCGTAGTATGGTACGGGTACAAAATTCCGCGCTAATTCTAACAAATAAAATTTTCGTTTTCATCGTATCAAATTCTATTCATCATTTTAAGATATGGATGTAAGAAATTGATCCATTCTTTTCTTCATTATAAAATGTAAATCTCACATCTGGATTGTAAATATTGGCAATTTCGTATCTAGTATATTTTTGCTTAAAACCATGTAATTCACCAATTTCAATATTTTCTGCTTTCTCGTTTAATTTAAAATTTTCGATTGGATTAAAATTTAAACCAATAGAAGCAACCATTTTTGAGCATTCTCTCGTTGTTGTTATATACTAAAATTTCTTTTTAACTTCGTATTCATGTTCAACTTACTTCTATAATAAGCTCATAAAGTTTTGTTGACTTGAAAGGAGTTAGACTAATTTGTGGAATTTTATCTCCTTCATTTATTAAAATTTTAAATAAAATATCTGTATATTGCTCTGCATTGTCAACATCTGTAAGACCAATTGAAAGAGATTTGAAACTTATTATATGGTTAAAAATCAAGTCCAGTACATTTCCAAATATTTTATTGGTAGGAGCTAGAAGGGGTATTTCGACGTGAAATTGAGTTGTCTTGTCATTATCAAATAATATATTAATCATTTCTGGATTAAATACAATTTTATTGAGATAGCAATGTCCAAAAGCACATTTAAAAAGTTTTTCTAACCAACATCTAACAATAATCATTTCCTCAGTATTTTTTGGAATGTTTGGCAATTTTAGGAGATAAGGTGGTTTTCTGTCTTTTGAATTATCGAATGCGTTTTCAATGATAATAAGGAAAACTTCAGATTCAAAATTATGTAAAAACAATGGAATTGATTTGTCTATAGCAGCTTGCCACTGAAAAATTAAATGTATGACTTAATTAAAAATTAATTAACCTTCTCCTTAATTTGCTCATTTAAAGTAAATTCATAAATTCCAGATTCTAGTGCAATATATTTATATTGATCTATCTTTTGATTTTCATCAATCTAAAAAACTAAAAAAAAGTTCTTTAACAAATATTTACTATTGAGAGGCCATCAAATTTCCTTCGTGCCAATTCCCCCTCATATTTACTAATTAAATTGTAAAAATAAGAATTTGTTTGTTTAACAACTAATAATTCGTTGAAATTAAGATATTTTAATATACGAAGTTGAACTTCAATTGGTAAAGAAAGCATATTAATTATCAAATAAAGATTAATTTATTAAGAAAAAAATACAAGTTGTATGTACATATTACTAAAATTATTATTTACATAGAAACAGAAAAATCATGATTTTATTATTGAAAATGAGACAAAACTAAAATTACGGCTCTTTTTAGGGCCAAAGCTTTAATGTGAGAGTTCAATTATCAAGTCTTTTATAAAAGTCTTCAATGGAAAATAATTTTTAGATTTTAAGGAAAAAAGTTCGGCGCAACAGAATAAATTTCTATCGATAATGTTAACAATTCTTCTAGATAAAATGAATAAATTTGCAATTATATTTATTATAAAGCTTTTATTTTGGTAATGAATAATTTAGAAACAGATTTTTTTGTTTAAATCGATAAAAGAAAATATTTCATCTAATACCAGCCAGTCACCATAGCAATCTTTGAATGTTCCAAATATGCTAGAATCTATGAAAAATAAATAAACAAAGTCTGGCTTAATCATACAGAGTGACAAATAAAAGTATTTGATTGATAAAAATAGGGCTTTCTGTCGGACTAAAAGGAAAATTTTCATTTTATAAAAGGATAATTTTTCAAAAATTTTAAAAAACAAAGAAAATGATTTAATCCAGGGCTCTCATCGACAAAATACCACTTAAAAGTATCAAAATCTCGATAAAAAAGTATATAGGGAGAAAATTTGCGAAAAAAAAGTAGTCTCAAAATTAAATTAGAAAATATTTATTCGTCCTCAAATCTTTCATATTTCCCTCCTAAATGAATCTTTTCTAATAATTTCTTGTTTCCACTGAGCATTTTTGTCAATTTCAATGCACCTTTTGTGGCGCCGAAGGTGCCAAAAAATCCATTTTTTGCGCCGCAGGCGAAAATTTTGAGAATATTGTAGGTCCTTAAGCCAGATTTCTTCCATTTTTTGCGCCGCAGGCGAAAATTTTGAGAATTTTGGAGGCCGTAGGCCAGAAAATTCACTTTTTTGCCCAATCCCTTCCCCAATTTCATTTTCAATCAAAAAAAAGTAGTTACTTTCAAAAAAGTATAAATTCAATTTCGTAAGTAGGGAGGTCGATTTAAAAGTAGAATACTTTTAAAAAAGTATAAATGAGAGCCCTGATTTAATCGAAAAAATTGGCAATCGCGGAGAATTGGGGTCCCTGTGAAAAAAAATCTTAAAAATAAGAAAAAGGATTTTTTAGAGTAAAAATATGCTGATTACGAAGCTGAGCTCAGATTCCGCAGTGACCACAATTCTCCGGGATTGCCAAAAAATAAATGAGAACAATATTTTTTTAAAATTTTACTGTTCGAGAAACGAATTAGCAATTATACTTTTTTAACCATAAACTTGAAGCAGTATCTTTCAATTTTGTTTCTGCAGTAGAAAAATAAAATCTTTCCTTTGGATTGTGAATATTGGCTATTTGGTAATTTGTATATTTTATAACCCCAAAGTTATTGATTTGAAAGTTTTCAGCTCTTTTACTTAATTTAAATTCTGTTTTTCCAAAGTGATGTAAACTAATATCAGGCACTACTTTAGAACAATCTCTAGATGTTGCTATATACTAAAATTTTTATAAAAATTTATAAATTAAAAAAGTCTGGATAACTTACTTCAACAATAAGGTCATAAATTTGTGGCAATTCACATTTAAACATAAAATTAACGGCATGTAATCTATCACTTTTATTTGTTAAAATATCAAATAAAATATTTGTATATTGCTCTGGAATGTCAACATCTTTCAAATTCATCGCAAAAGATTCAGATATTACTAAATTATCTAAAATGACCACCAAATTTTCACATATTCTATTGTTAGCAGATAGATATAAATGATTAATGTTAAATTGAAGAGGAATTGTTTTGTCATTATCGAATAATATATTGACCATTTCTGGATTAAATACAGCCTTATCAAAATGAGCACGTCCAAAACAACAATTAAAAAGAACTTCGATCCAACAACGAGCAATACTCATTTCTCGAATATTTCTTGGAAGGTTTGGGAATTCTAAGATATACGTAGATCCTCTGTCCCCTAAATAGAAAAATGGGTACTTGTGGGTTATCCCAAACCAGTACTTGCGGACAAATTTGTGCGGACTCATTTATGTACGAAAAGGTCAAATGTTCTCCCTTCCTCGATTTCACTCAATTTTCTCTGTGGCATTCTTCAATGAGGGCATCAAAGGGAAAAGATTAATTTTTTGTAATGTTTTCAGGACCAATTTTTGTTTTGTCTGACCAATTTGGACGAATTGACAAAACTGCTTTATCTGGACTATTTTTGGAAAATGGAAAACCTTCACCTCTTTTTCCCCTCACCCATTATTTTCCCCTCAACACTTACTTAAAAATCGGTCATTTGTATTTAAAATTAATCTTTTCCCTTTGATGCCCTCATTGAAGAATGCCAGAGAAAATTGAGTGAAATCGAGAAAGGGAGAACATTTGACCTTTTCGTACATAACTGAGTCCGCATAAATTTGTCCGCAAGTACTGGTTTGGGATAACACACAAGTACCGAAAAATGATTAAAAATTATTTGGCAAATTGAGACCTATGCTATTCTAAAAAGTTATTCTACGTTATTCAGAAAATTGATAAAATTAATGAAATAATCTTTTAAACCTGTCGTCTTTAATCCAACAAATAATTGACTGATGAATTTATCCAAGAACAAAGGAATTGATTTGTCTATAGCTGTTTGCCACTAAAAAAAATTTAATTTAATTTAAAATTAATTTATTAACCTTCTCTTTAAGCTGATCACTTATCGTTAATTCAAAAATTTCGAATTTAGGTTTAATGAATTTATATGGATTTAACTTTCGAAGAGATTTGGGCTCAATCTAAAATTAATTTAAATAAAAAAAAAGTTTATATATTTACTATTGAAATTTGATAAAATTTAATTTGTGCCAATTCCCCCTCATATTTATTGATTAAATTGCAAAAATAAAAATGAGTTAGTTTAACAGAGAATAATTGGTTGAAATTAAGTAATTTTAATATATCAAGTTGAACTTCAGTTGGAAGAGAAAACATTTTGATTTTAGTAATCTAAGAAAGAAAAAATATTAGGTCGCGCAATAATTAGCCGCGTATTTTTTCAATCATATTTTTCAGAGTGTTATTTTACAAGTATTCTTTCAACTTATTAATCAACATAAAGATCCGAATCTGCTCTTCATTTTAATACCAGGTTTAGTTATATATGGGTGATATTCTTAAAGTTATAATTTTTGAACTTCACTACCTCGTAGTGAAATTCACAAGCATTTAACCCAAAAATTTTAATTTACCTAAAATGCAACAAAAGAAGCAAATAATGTTAATGATCTAGTCAATGGGTTCGTTGTCTATGCTAGACAGCAAAGAATAGGGTTCAGGCTATAAGAGGAAGGCCGTATCACTCTCAGAAGCAAACATGGTCGAGGGAGACAGGTCTCATAAAGAAAACGGTCCTGCGCGGCCGGCTTAGATGGAATCCGGTAATTTCTACTGCTGAATTATCGAGGGATATCTGCTCTATACATACAGCAACGCTTGACTGAAAAAACGCGGGCTGCGCTTAAGGAGAGTAAATCAAATGTCGCGTGTACTCACATTTCAAAAATGAAACAAACGAAACGACATCCCCCCAAAAAACGTTTTCTTAGATCTCAGCGTAAAATCATCCGATCAGGATGATCTAAACGGTTTTTTAAATCTCATAGAGGGCTTATACTAAATCCGAAATATAAAGTCTGTAGATTGTGTCGAACCCCGGAATTCGAATTTCGACTTTTTCGAAGATTTAGACCTTTCATAATAAAAATTCGAAATTGTGACCAACATTTAGAGCATTTGAAGAGCTTTCGAATGATATATTACACTAATTATTATCATTACATATTCTTGAGAAAATTTGATTTTCGATGATTTCGAAAATTTTGACATTTTCGATCAGAACTCCCTGAATACCTACCCAAAAATTCTGAAATGCTGGGATCCTTTAGAAAATACACTAATAAATGATTCGTAATAAAAATAAAAAAATTTTTCAGAAAATTTTGAAATAAATATGTCTATAAAAAATACGCGGCTAATTATTGCGCGACCTAATAAAAATCGAAAGAAATCTGAAATACGTTAAAATAAAAATCAAATAAAGATTAAAATGTATTAGGGTAGCACCCCCGAAACCCCGACAAATTTTCGCAAAAACCCCGACCCGAACTCCGAAGGCTCTACCCCGACATACCCCGTCACTCCCTCCCTGAAGGCTCGGGGTGCTACCCTAAAATGTATTGTAAAAATAGATTTACTGGCCTTAACCAGCTAAATAATAACAGGAACAAATTTTATAAATATTAATTTATTCAAAAAAAGTCAATAAAACTAGTGTTCAACGATCAACTTAATTAACAAAATATTTGTAGTCCGAAGAATCGACATAATTTAAATTTCGTCTAATACCCTTCACTATTCTGATTTTAGTTTTGTAAACCTTTCTTCCAATTTTCCATCCTTGGCTACAAAATGAAAACTTCACTTTTGGATTGTGTTTATTAACAATTTCATAAGTTATAGATGTTAAATTTGCACGGTGTTCAATTTCAACATTTTCTGCTTTTTCGGTTAATTGCAAACCACAGGGGTAATAATAATCAAGAACGATAAAAGGCACCATTTTTGAAAAGTCGTCTTTGGACGTTGTTATGTACTAAAATATAAAATTGTATTTGAGGGCTCATAACAGAGAAGTTACGGGTTAAGAGAAATTTTCTTCTGATCTGGTTGACAGTCGTTAAGTCCGGGTATCGGGGTTCGGGTAACCATTGATACCGCCGTCCCAAACATATTTACGGTCGATATCCTAGGTGTGCCGCAACAGATTTTAAAAAGTGAAAGGCAAAAGTCCAAAATTTTTAATGAAAGATGAAAAGTCGAAAGGCACACCCATGGTTGAAATAAATGTCCTAGGACCGACTTGCTCTCTCGAAGGGCATAAATGTCAATCATAACCGAGTTTAAGCCCTCAATATTTGTAAAGCAAAAATTTATTTCAAAATGTCATCAAAACTTACATCAACAAGAGGATCAAAAACTTGTTCACGAAACCAGTCTTTTTCAGATTTATTAAATTTGAGACAAACTTTGGGTAACTTTTTGCCTTCATTTAGCAAAATTTTGAATAAAATATAAAAATCTTCGCTGTCAAATGAGTCAAAATTGAATTCTAGACGTTCATAAATTTTAAAATAATTTAAAGAATATTCCCAAATTTTTCTAAACGTAGATGATCTCGAAAATATTTCTGGTTTATCAATAAGAAATTGACGAAGAGTTGTTCTGTCGTCACAAAATAATAAATTAATAATTTCTGGATTTAATACAACTTCATCAAACAAAGCTTTTTCATAAGCACAATTAAATAGTTGTTTTAACCAATATCGAATAATAGCCATTTCTTTAAAATCTTGCGGATAGTCTGGCAATATAAGAAGATAATGGTAAGGTTTGCCCTTCACTAAAAAAAAAAAGAAAATTTTAGAAAATTATCTGTCGTATTAAAAAAGTATGTGTATAACAAGGCTATTGGGTTGAAAAAAAATCGGGTTGGAAAATTTCTCGGTTCAGGGTTTTAGTAAATCCTTGATATATCCGGTATCTTGTATAAGCAAGAAAGAATATATTTTAATACGTTAATATAATACGTTCACAAACGTCATACATAGGGTTGGGGCCCGGTTCGATCAGCCCGATTGAATCGGTAATCTCATTTTAGCCCGAAAGACTCGATCAGCCCTCCGCTAGCCGGATCCTGAATCATTAGGTCCCTAATGATTTGGCTAGAGGAAGGGCTTATCGGATCATTTCGTCGAAGACTGGCCCGAAAGGCCCGATAACCAAGTTATATGTCAAAATTTAATCCCTTTTTTGATGGACAAATTTTCACGGTTAAGAAAAGGAAAAATAGGATTGATGAGAGGCAATCGAAACTTCTATATTTTATTAACAAAGCTAGAACCGTCAACAAAGCACAGGGGAAAATAGGAAGTACCTATTTTATATCCCAGTAATTTTATTCAAACCATTTTTCTCCAAACAAATTGCGAATTTGGGAGGGAATCCATTGTTACAATCTTCAAAATCTTCATTCGGATAAAGCATCTCTTTTGTCTGTCCTGTATGTGAATACAATCTGATGTATGTACACATCGCCCTCCGCCACTGAAAAAAATTAAAATATAGTAAGAGCGAGGTAAAAGTTTAATCCCGTGCAGGCTTCGATCCTGCGACCCCTGGCAGTTATTGCAAGGCGCTTTCGCTCACCACGTACAGGTGCTCTACCAACTGAGCTACCGGGACGCTGCTTTCACCTTCTCTTTTAATAGATCTTAACCCCCGCCTAGTGAGCGTTTTAAATGCTAGCCAGCTGGATCTTTTCTCTTTCTCTTCCTTACAATATTAAGAGGTATGGCCCCTGCCAGGCCACGATCTTGCGGGGTACACCCCGATGTACCGCGAGCCCAATGTACCGCCGAGCTATAACTTTGTTAAAAATTGTCGCATCCGTGGCGCCCTGGTATGGTACGATGCGGCTCGACCAGCTGAATCGAACCATACCAGGGCGCCACGGATTCGACAATTTTAAAGAAAGTTATAGCTCGGCGGTACATTGGGCTCGCGGTACACTGGCCTGCTCCCGATCTTGCGACCTCTTGGTAGTTACTGCTAGAGCGGGTACTTTATAGAATGAATGAGTTAACGTTGGCCTGTTCCTCTAAAATTTAATTGTTCACCTTCTGTTTAACCCAATCAGTCAATTCATATTGAATAGCTTCTGATACAGATTTAATGACTTTATATTCTTTTAATCGTTGTGCGATAGTGTATATATCCAACTAAAATTCAATTTAGAGGAAAATTTGGTTATTTACTATTGAGATTTGATTAAATTTCATTCGATAGCACAATTTTTCTTCAAGTTTATTAATTGAATTGTAAAAGTAAGAATTTGTCAATTTAACAGAGGATAATTGATCAAAAGTAAAGCATTTTAATACATCAAGTTTTGCTTCAGGTGGAAGAGAAAACATTTTTAATTATCTAAAAATAGGGGGAAATTCCTGAAATAATTTTAAAAAATCAAACAAAAAATTAAAAAATTGTAAAAAGAAATTTACAGGAATTAACCAGTGTTTATAAATTTCAATTAAGCTCGTACCTAAGTATTTTTGGCCTCGTACTCATAATAAAAGTACGGGTTTTGCTCGTATCTTCTCGTACTTTTTCCTAGTGCTCGTACTTCGTACTGGCCTATTTTTTTTTGCTCGTACCCGTATTTCGTCCCGTTGTACGAGTACGGATTTTGGTACGAGCTTATAAACACTGGCTTAAACCAATTTAAAGATAATAATCAAAAATATTTTATAAAAAAATTTTATTCAAAATTTATTTTCATTAATCAATATAGGTAATCCAGACTAAGACATGGATATAGATCAGGGTGGCCCTTTCCAAAACACTAAAATAGGGCGCAGCCACTCAAAAATAGGGCAAAATCTGCCAAAAATAGGGCAAAAAATAGGGCATTCTTTTAGAAGCTTAAAAATAATTAAAATTTTTAATAAAAAAACTTTATTTTGTATATTTTTTACTAGTTTTAACTAAATTGAGAAAATCGGGATCAGAAATAAAGAGACAATTAAAATCAGAATTCTATCCTAATCAACGTTTCTCTCCTTAATTTCAGTTTGATTAGGCCATTCTAATTGAGACTTAAAACTCCAATCTTAAGTAAATGTCCAAATCATTTAGATTCAGTTGAACAACATTCTCCATAGGCTGATTTAATTTTATTAATATTCAAAAGCAATAATCTAGATTTCTTCCTTTTTCAGCGCCGCAGGCAAAAATTTTGAGAATTTTGGAAGGCCAAGGGGTCAGATTACTTCCGTTTTTACCGCCGGAGGCGAAAATTTTTGGAATTTTGGAGGCCAAGAAGCCTGATTTCTTCCTTTTTCTGCTATTTCTTTTACTAAATTCTAAAGCTGGAAAAATTTTACAAAATGTTAAAAATAGGGCAAAAATATGGCAAATGAAAAAATAGGGAAAAACTAGGGCGAAAAGGCCAAAAATATGGCAAATGCCCTGTAAATAGGGCAAAAGGGCCACCCTGATACAGATATTATAAAAATGCCTGCGGATATCCGTCTGTATCCGCCGTAAATATCCGGATACCAAAATCAGTATCCATGTCCTAGTCTGAGGTAATCTGCCAAATAATTGTAGTATGACGAATCAACAAAATCCGAATATTTCCATCCCTGTTCCTTCTCTGTTTTGATTTTAATTTTAAAAACCGATTCAGTAAACAATTCTTGGTTACAACATAAAAATCTAATTTTTGGATTGTAAATATTGGCAATTTCATATGTTGTAATTGTTTTATTCCCAAGCCGTTTAGTTTCTACATTTTCTGCTCTGTCACTTAATTTTAATTTTATAGGATCAGAATACATAAGCGTAATAGAAGGCACCATTGTTGTAAAATCTTTAGATGTTGTTATATACTAAAAAGGTATTTGTGGTACATTAATATCCCCCCACTATTCTCTATTTGGGTCTCGGATATTTCGCTTTTATTCTTCGCTGCTTTGGAATGGTCAAACAAAAATCGACTGTATATGAAAGGAGTGCTCGGATCGCATTTTTCCTTACCTCGGAATGAGGTCAATTTTCCTTAGTATTTGATGTTTGTCATAAGGCAAAATTGTGTAAAAAATATTTTTTTCTCTGCTTATTTTGTTGGTTGAGTGGCAAAATTCGGTCTTACAAAACTCGGTCGAGGCAAAACTTGGTCGGACAAACTTGGAAAGCCCAAGTCGGTCTTACCAAAACTCTGTCCATTTTGTTTGGGGTCTTTTTGGACGAGTGCTGTTATCTTTTTTTTATTTTGTGTCAGGCTAACTAACGGGACGGAAAAACAACAACGGACAAATTACACCGAGTTTTGGTAAAACCGACTTGGTCGTTCCAAGTTTTGTCTCGACCGAGTTTTGTAAGACCGAGTTTTGTCACTCACCCAACGAAATAAGCAGAGAAAATATTTTTACACAATTTTGCCTTATGACAAACATCAAATACTAAGGAAAATTGACCCCATTGCGAGTCGGTCTAAGATTGAAAGGAAAAATGCGATCCGAGCACACCTTTCAGATACAGCCCAAAAATATTTACTTATATACCTTTTTTTCTCCGTGGTCGAAACAGACCAAGTATGGTGTCATTCGAAAGAGCTAGGAAAATTGAGTCGAACTTGGTGTGGATGAAGCTGGACCGATACCTAGGGGCCGAGATATAGGGTCGAAATGGTCAAAAACCATAGGCAAATAAAAGCTCATTCGAGAGAGCTATTCAAGCTGAATTGATAAAATTTTGGTGTCCGGCCCCCTACAATTTTTCCTGGCTACGGTCTTGGCTATTACATATTTATTTCAAAAAAAGTGTGGACAACTTACTTGAACAATAAAATCACATAGTTGTAGATAAAATTGTTGTCCTGGGTTATTAAATCGAAAATTAACTTTAGGTAATTTTTTGCCCTCATTCGTTAATATATTTGAAATAATATCAAAATGTTCAGTAGAAATGGAAGCAAAATAGATTCGAAGACATTCAGAAATTTCTACACAATTTAAAGAAAATTTCCAAATATTTTCAAATGAATATCCTGTAGCATAAAGAATTGGGTTTTGAATGTGAAGAGAAAACTTTTTGTTTTCATCAAATAATAATTTAATCATTGCTGGATTAAACACAATTTCATTAAATACGACATCTTCAAAAGCACACTTAGAAAGTTGTTTCAAACAGTAACGAACAGTAACCATTTCATACATATTTTTTGGGAAGTTCGGCAATATTAGAATATAATGAGTTTTGTAGTTCCCTAAAAGATAGAAATATAGGCATCTTACTTCATCAAATAAGACATCTATAAAACGTTAGTGTGTATCACTATTTATAAATTTTTATTTTGCTCGTACCTCCCCAATTTTAGACCTCATATTCATGCTTTATTTTTGGCCTCGTACTTCGAAGCAAAATACTAGTACGGATTTTGGTGCGATCTTATAAACTAAGGTTGTCGGATCCGGATCTGAAAAAAGTCCGGATATCCGGAAATTTTCAGCTCGGATATCGGATCCGGATATTTTAGGATTATCAACTATCCACAAACCTTATTATAAACCAGGATGTGCCGAAAGATTTTAAAAACGAAACGTAAAAGGTTAGAAACACTGTTGTCTAGTAGTGCTTATAAGCTTGTAATTTATATCCTTATAATTATTTTCAAACCTGTTTTCTTCAAATAAATAGCAAATTCTTTGTCAGGTTTAGCAAAATGTTCTGTCCTGCTAAGTAAAATCCTAGTCCGTCCCGTACGTAAATAAGGTAAAATGGATTTATCTTTCATTGTTTGCCACTGGAAAAATTAAAAGTTTATTTGAAATTTAATAGTGTACTTGTGGCTTATCCCAAAAGTTTTTGCAAAAGTATTTATGCGGACTAATTATACTATAATTGTCAGAACGTCTCATAATTGTTACCCTTTCTTTATCCGATGTAATGTTTTTCGGACATTTGGGGGGAAATATTGGGAGTTGAATGATTTACTTTTTATATCTGACCATTATGAGTCAGCAAAATTATGTCCGCAAAAACTTTGTCCGCAAAATATGTACGCAAAAACTTGTTTGGGATAGCCCACAAGCCCCTCAACAATCAACCTTCAATCGATCACTCAATTTATATTTAACAAATTCTGAATTAGGTTTAATAATTTTTAATCCTTTAAACTTTTGTTTGATAGTGCTTACACCGACCTGAAATTTGATTTTAAAAAATATTTAGTTAATATATTTACTATTGAAAATCTTATGAATTTCACCAGTGCCAATTCTCCCTCGTATTTATTAATTAAATTGCGAAAGTAAAAATTTGTCAATTTAACAGAGAATAATTGATTGAAGTTTAGACATTTTAATACATCAAGCTGAACTTCAGTTGGAAGAGAAAGCATTTTTAAATATCTAGAAATAGGAATAAAATTCAATTTTAATTCCTGAAATTTAGTAAAATCAGAAAAATAACAGTGAAAACGAAAGGAAACAAAAGAAAGGGAGTTTTGAGATGAGACTGAAACGTCCTCTTCCTCTTATGGCAAAACGATAACATTGCCGTCTAAACGCGAACGAAGAGCGACTTTATTGTTTCTCGAACAGTTCGTTTTTGCTGATTCAAATTTATCGATTATTTATTAACTAAAAATTGTAAAAAATTGCTCAACTTTAAAAAAAATTCATATAAAAATATTTAATATTCTCCCAAGTTCAATGGATGAAAATGACTTAAAACAACAAATTGATTTTTTAATTCGCAGTTATCCAGATTTCCCTTCCAAAGGAGTTCTTTTTAGGCGAGTTAATTTAATAAAATGATTCAGTCTGATAAAGGATAAATCGAGTTAGGTTGAGACTTAAGTGACCTTAGTAAAAAACTGGATCATCGAGGGCTAATCGGCCGATCTCTACTAATTATAACCTATTTAATGTCCTATCCAAAGGTACCAAGAACAAAAAAAAGTGACTATCCCTTTGTAAGTTATAGGGTCCGGGACTCGATTGAGGTGTATTCGTTAATTTTGCCTTATTGGCATTTTGTGAAGAGACATTTTGTCCCATTTGTCTGCTCGAGTCTGCTGTAGCAAGAGAAATAAATATTTTTACAATATTTTTTGATTTTTGTTAGCTTTTTCAATTAAATTATTTTTCGTTTTATACATAATTTTTATTAATTTTTAGCTTCTTAAAGACAATTTTTACGTATTTAAATAATCTTTTGAACTTTCTTCAAAGAAATGTTTTATTCTCTGCCAACAAAGATTTTTAAACGACTCAACTTTCAACAATTTTATTCAATCAAACGAACGAATGTTTATTGTCGCGATTTTGTTAAATGTGAAGGGGAACTTGCTAAAAAGAAATTTCATATGATTTCTCTTGTAAACTACTTTTTTTTTAATTAATTTGTGAAAATTTTTCTTTTAAGGATCGTACCGAATATTTTAAGGGTGACACTAAGAAATTGATTTTACCCAAAGCTGAAAATTTTGACTTTCAATTAAATGCGAAACTTGAAAAGAAGGTATTTAAATTTTTAAAGCCAAAATTTCAGGACCAGTGTAGTTTACATCCCATAAGCCCCGCCCCTTTTTTCTCTTCCTTTTCTTTAGAAAATGACATCCTGTGGTGAAAAATGACATGACAGATGAAAAATGCATCTATCTGGTCATTTTCTAAGGAAAAGGTAAAAGGGGCGGGGCTTATGGGGGGTAAACTACACTAGTTCGACTTTTCTGTTTTAGTTCAAAAATGGATTTGAAGAACCAATTCCTTTGTATTTAACTAATTATGATTTAGACGAGAATATTGTTATTTGCTTAGAGAAAGGTTAAACTTTGTTTAAAAATTCCTGAAAATCTTTAATGGGAATGCAGACCAGGGATGTCACTGGCTGAGAAAAATTTCGGGTCAGGTTTTAGAATTTTCTTCGGATCGGGTTTCGGGTCGAAAAAAAGTCCGGGTATCGGGTCGTCGGGTCGGGTTAGTTAAAATTTGAATATGAAGCCAGAATTTTTGAAGATGTTGGGGTATATCGGATATTTAGGGGGTTATTGTGTGTGTTTAGGGGGTTAATCCGCCAATATACTTCTAAATCCCTGATATGTCCAAAATCCATCTTTATTCCTCAATCTCTCAAAAATTAATAATTCAAGATTAATCACATCTAATTCCATCATATAACTTAATGCGCCGAAGGCGCCAAACTCATTCATCAGCGCCGCAGGCAAAAATTTTTTGGATTTTGAAAGGCTATGCTGCTAGATCTTTTCTCTTTTTAGCGCAAAAGGCGAAAATTTTGAGAATTTTCGATGGCTAAGACCTTTGTTCACATTTTTAGAGCCTATAGCGCTCTGTTGTGAGCGTGCATTATGACTTGGGAAAGCAGAGATCTCTATTCCGAATCCCTCTATATTCCCTTTTGAGGGCGTAAGTCTTCGGAGGGTGGGTGAACTCGTCCTAAAGCCCTTTTTAAATCTTCTTATAACTTAAAGAATTTTAGTTGACAACAGCGAAGAATATATACTTAAACTTCCACCAATTATTAAAACCAAAGAGGACATTCAGATTGTTTATCATTATTTGGACAAGTTATTCAAATGTTCTTTTCAATATTCCTACTTTGAGGATTATATATTTAATCCAAGATTGATTGAATTATTATTTGGGGAAGCTAAACAATTTTCTGTTCAAAATTGCACTATTATGATTCAAGACCGCAATATTGATTTTTTATTTAAATTTATCTTGAATAATTTGACTAGCGAATTTCATCGGATTTTTCTTTATCCAATGCGTGATAGTAGGACTATGGAGAAATACAAAAATGATTTATTCAAAATTCTATTAACTGGAGGAGACAGATTTGAAAAAGTTCATGTGATGTTCCATTCTCCTCCGAGATTTACTCAAAATGTCTATGATCATATTGTTGAAGTAAGTTATTTAACTGGGCTCAACCCAGAGTACTAGGGTTGTCCGGTCCGGATTTGAAAAAAACCGGATATGCGGAAATGTTCGGTTCGGATCCTAGATTTAGGGCGAAATGGAAAAAATCGGGTTCCTTGGCCCTCAAAAATTCTCAATATTTTCGCCTGCAGCGCTAAAAATAGAAGAAAGCTGACTTTAAAACTCTGAGGAAATGATGAGAGATTTGGGTGTGAGGAAGATTAAGGTTATTTATAGGGATAAGGGGGATTTGTATGAGTATCGGTTAATGACCAAATCCACAATATCTCTCATAATCCCCCAACTTCAACTCTTAATCCTCTAGACTTGAACGAGTCTTCCTACTTGGTCTTCCAAAATTCTCAAAATTTTCGCCTGCGGCGGTAAAAAAAAGAATTTGATCCTACACTTAATCCCTCAAAACACTTTGTATCCCCAGATTAACCCTTATTTCCCGGATTGTGGACTACGGAACTGTTTGAGTTTCAAAAGTGCAAATGGGACGGGATCCCGCGGAATATATCCCGTAAACCGCAGTAAGGTACTTTATGGATATGTCACCCCCTCCTATACACAAATCTGGTAAAATATTATCGAGTCTTGTTCGAATCGGACCGAATTTTTCATAGCCATTTTTTCGGCTTGTTTTTTGGACTCGAGGAGCTCTTTCGAATGAGCTATCATTCAAAAAATCTTGTTTTTCAGACAAAAATGTGCTTACTACCAGTAGTATATACTAGGGTAATATAACATTTATAACAGAAAAAAAACTCAGTTTTATTACAAAAATGTAAAAATGGTATATAGCTCTTTTATATACTAAAAACTGAGTTTTTTGGCCTGTTATAAATGTTATATTACCCTAGTATAGACTAATTTTTTAAAAGAAAACTCCAGTCGAATAAGTCTGAAGGTTCTAAATGCTTTCGATGGACGAAGAAAAAGAAATAATAAAAAATTTTAACTTATAGGGGAGAATAACGATAAATAATCATCAGAACAAAGCAAAGAACACTTAAAACATTAAAAAAAGAAAAAATACATTAGGAAAATTTTATGAGCAATTTATTTATTAAAAAATTTAAAAAGAAAAAGTAAGCGAAAAAAATGCTTAAAAGGCGTAAAATAAAAAGGAATAGAAAAAGTAATTTAAAATAAAATTAAAAAATATTAACATAAAACCATATCGCATTTGTGGTGATTGGAGGTGGGTCGGAACAGTAGGAGGTGTCGGAAATCGGAAGAGCGTAGAAAATGAAATTGTTTCGGAAATCGGAAGGAAAAAAAGGAATTCCGATCCACCTCTGATGTGGTAAAAATGTAATTAAAAAATTTAATTAATATGTAAATTTAAGTAAAAATTTATATTTTAATTCAAAAATTCTCTTCATTTTTTAACTCAAATTTTTTCCAAAATTACACAACTAAAAAAAGAAAAATTTTTAAAAGATATCCCAACCCCCCCCCCTCCTTACATTTAACGTCTACATAGAAATTTGTGAGATCCAAGCCAATTTTCAATATGATTGAGGCGTCGAGTAACAGCCGTATTCTGCTCTAGTAGTGCAATCACGGTATCGGCTAATGTTTGGAGCAATTTGCGTTCAGCAGCTAGCGTATCAGGAGATGGTGTATTGGGCGCAGAAGTATCAGCTGTTTGTGTAGGCGGTTCATGTTTAACTTTTCTAAATCAAAAATAAATTTCAAAAAAACAATATAAATAAAAACTTAGAGGAGCGAAACCATCGTTGCATCGTAGAAAGATGCGGAGCGTCTATACCATAGAGACGCAATAGCTCGTTATGTAGACTTTTGCCGCTAAGTCCGGTTTTGCTGTTTATTTCCATAGATTTTTTAAAAATATGTTTGTATTTATTGGAGACCATAACTAAAATAAAATTTATAAAAAATAAAAAATTTATAAAAAAATTTTAAAAATGAAAAAATTTTATTAAAAATTTTCCTTTTATCTATTCCTGGAAGTGTTTTCATTCACGTGCCTGTCCATTAATGGCTGATAATCCATTAACTTGAATATAGATCTTAATGGATTATCGGCCGCTAATGGACAGGCACGTGAATAATACACAGCCTAGAAACACTTAAAAAAAAAGGGGGGGTGAAAGGTCACCCCAAATTAAAACAAGTAAAAAAATTCCTAAAAAATAAAAAACCGTTTGTAACAACTGGAGAAACAAGACGAACAAAAGAAGGCTCAAACCTTTAGAAAAAATTAAAAAAGTTTCGAACTAAAAAACTAACGGAAAAGAAGCCCCGAAAATAAATTGAAAAAGCAGTCCGTCCTTGTTATGTGGAGGCTTAGCCAATTGTCTCAAGTCTGTTGCAAGATTGCTATCTTCATCAAATTTCTTCAATTTGACATTCCATTCATACAAATTTTCCTTTTCCAATTCGATTGAGAAAACGCCTAAATGTTAATTTTATATAAAAATCAAGACTGGGCACAATCAGTTAAGCGACCCGGAACCGAAAATCGGAGTCAAAACAAAGCGAAACCGTAGGGTACCGGTCAATAACCGGTTGCGGACAACTCTAATAATACCAAAAAATTAAATGTCTTGATACCATTTTTATAGTTATCACTGCTATATATCTGCTTAAGCTCTTTCATAAGACGATCTGACGCTGTTACAGAACCAGCTGGAGCGCCTATAAAATTTAACAATAATTAAATCTTCAATCAAAAAAACATTTAAGGTGCTGCTGACGTTGAACGTGAGAAACACGAGTAATAACGGCTAAACCAGCAGGTGGAACCTGAAATATAAAAAATAATTGTATATTCACTTGAAAAATTTTTAGGAGAGTAAAACGGGTTGCACAGGCAATACCATTTGGAGCTGAACAATAACTCTTTTTGGGTCAAACCACTAATGTTCCTCAATACTAAATAATCCGTTTAAAACAATTGAAAAAAACTAGTTTTATTTGTACCCAAAAAGTAAAAAAAGAAATCGGGGAAGAGGAAGGATAAATGCCAAGTACCAATAATTCCTAGTTATTAATGAATAAACATACCAGTCCATCTTCAGAATGCTCAACACGTGCAGCCCCAACATTCTCCATTTCGCACATCAAATCATCCTCCTCATCATCATCCACAGTGTTTTCCAATTCGCTTCCATTCCCTTCGCTCTATAAATAAAAATAAACAGAAAAGAAAAATTTAAAAGAAAAACCGGAGCAATCGCTTCAAGTTCTGTCTGCACTGTCAGTCTATGTGCAGTACAAAGCCTGAGAACCAACATATGCAAGTGTGCCAGAATACCTGTGCCATCTTGACTTTGAGTGAGCTGTTCAAGTAAAGCAGTGACTATAGCATCGTCAGATTCGCTGAACCAAATTGGAGGCTCTCGTGGGTATTTTTCCTAAAAAAATACAAGTTTAGCCAGTATTCGGTCAGCAGGATCTGAATCCAGATCTTGATTGTTTTTTGGATCCTGTCAAGATCAAGGTATTTTTTAGTGTTCCTTAACGTTTCCGAATCTGGTTAATGTCCTCAACCAAGACCAAGAACCAAGGTTTCTAAATTTCCGATCTCTAGTTTTTTCCAATCTCAGTAAATTAAAAACCTGAATATTAGCACAAATCTGAATAGACTTCCCATCTGTCCCAACGAAATTAACCTCAAGTTCGTCAATTGAAGCGGAAACAATCTAAAAAAGCATTTGAATCGATTCCCAAAGAAAACTAAACCTGAAAGCGTTCATATGTTTTGGGAAACAATCGTTCAAGCAAGGCAATATCTTCTCGAAGTTTTTGTAAACAGGCCATCTTTATATTAAGAAGAAAGGAAATTAGAAGTAAGCTTCGAGTAGATTGTCTAAAAAATGTGAATAAAATCAAGTCAAGAGAGAAAATTAGCATAGCACGAATCAATAAAAGGGACAAACGATGAAATATCAATCGATAATCAATCTTTGGCAATTTTTTGGTAAAAAGCGAATTAATTATTAAAAAATTGATTCAATCATTCCGCGAGAATATAAAGTTAGCCCAAAAAATCAAGGTTAAGAGAAAATTCTAGAAAAATCGAAGAGAAAGTGAAAAATAGATAGGAGGTAGAAAAGGAAAATGTCGTTTTGGAAAAAGTAAAAATGGTAGCTTTAAATGGGCAAGTGTTTCAGACCCTTTTTTCAATTTTTAAGAAATTTAAGTAAGCGTATAAATTAAATTTTATTTTGTAGATTGATTATTAAATGCACAAGCTGGACCTTTACCATCAAAAAATTCTTTGAATTTGTCAGAACTGCGTAGTCGGGTTATTTCTTATTGTTCTTTAATTAAAAAAATATTTTTTGCCTAAAGGTTTTGATTGGCCAACTTCCTGATGACTTTAAGTGTTTCAAAGCCAGAAGTAGATTCACCATTTCTCAAAACGTTCAAGTCTCCTAAAGCTTGGTTTGCTTTATAACAACCCATGCTTATGACTGCTCTTTTACGTAATTTGTCAAAGTAGGCTACTGGACTATTGGATGATAAAGTGAACAAGTTCATTAAACTTTCACTTGTCTTATGTTTTCTAGCAATGCTCCACCTGAAGTTTATCAAGAAGAAAATGGCTGGGAAGAAGTTGATTACAGCGAGGTTAAACTCCCTGATGTTCGTCAGATTCAAATACTTGGTCATGGTTCTTATGGGACAGTTTATAAGTGCACTTTTAAGGGTTGTTAACTTTTACCTATTAAGGACTGATTAAGTTTAACCATTTAAGGGTCGTCAAGTTGCAGTTAAAATTGCAAATAATTCAAACGATCTTATTTGTAGGTAGAGGCTAAACATCTGCATAGTTTTTGTCACCCAAACATAGTCAACCTTTATGCACTCTTTCGTGGCGAGTTTTGTGGCATTGTGATTGAATTAATGGAAGGTGGATCACTGGATGAATGTATATTTTTATTATTTTTTATGTATAAATTTAAATATTTTTAGTGTTGCATTTGCACAAGGATCTCACTTTTAAAGTATTTTTTTAAATAATTTTTAAGGGCACATCGTTTACTACCACCGTAACTTTGATATTGTTTCAGTATTATTTGATAGAGGACCCCGACTTCCTGTTGCTAGTTATATTCGTTTTTTGTTAAATGACTTTAGGCCAAGGTATGCCGTTCAAAGTCGCGGTGACAGTAAACAATGTTTCTTTTTAATTCAAAATTTTATTTGCAGACTTTTCATGTTTTGAATTGGTCATTGCAAGTATCTAAAGGTTTTTAACCTTTTTTAAGTTTCAATTTTAATTTCCAATTAAATTTTAGCATTATCATATTTACATTCAAACAACTTTATTCATTGTGATATAAAACCAGCAAAGTAACTTTTTTTATTTTATTTTTTAAATATTGATTTTAAAGCATGCTTCTCTCAAAGAACTACAAAACATTAAAATTATGTGATTTTGGAACTGTTGCTAATAAAAATGGTAATTTATGTGATAACAAAGGCTTTGCTGCTTGGATGGCACCAAAGGTTTTTCAAGGAGAAAGGTTTTTCTTTACAAGTTTTTTGAAAAAATTCTTTTTAAGTTATACCCATAAATCTGACATTTATTCTCTTGGAATTTCTATTTGGGAGATGGCTTTTCATTTAATGTGTACATTGGTTATACCGATCCAAAAAGCCCAATGACAACTCGACCTTTGCTTACACCTCCAACGGAAATATCAAAATATACTGAAAATTTAATTTTATTACTTGGCTTTAAAAGTATTAAAAATATACCTTTTTGTGTAACTCTCAAGTCCTTTTCCTTCTCGGCAAAAATTGTAGCCTAAAGAGAAAAAATTATTAATTCTAACCAGAATCATGGGATCACCCAGAAAGTCAGAAACCAGGTTTCTTTCATGCAACTTCAGATAATAAGGCAAAAGGGACCTTTATTAACCTTTATCCGCCCAAACAGTTGGATTTGACCTTCTGGTTTTTGACCTGATTTTTGATCTTCTGGGGTGGACAACAAAATCATCACCTACCAAATAAGCAAAAAGAACAAAAGCCAATTTCAACAGAATAACCATTAGACTGAAAGAAGAAAATTTTTATATAAAATTTAGTCTTTTTGGTATAAATTAATCAAGACATACATAAAAATAGCTAAAGCTTTGATTATCTGTTTCACCCATTTTTGTTTCATTTTTTTGAATTTTTAATTTTTTTAGAAATTTTTTCAGTTATTAATTTTTCGGTAAATTTGAATAAATTGGATCCATATAAGGGTTAAATTAATCTCGTGGAAAGTAAATAGAGGAATAAATTTTTTTGTACACTTCATTTAAAAAATGTTACTAATAGACCAGCTTTTCTTTTTCTCTGGCCATTAGGGACTCCTATATTTTGTCAATTCCTTGTTTTGCCAATAAGGCTAAAAATTTACGTTTTGTCAATAAGTTGTTGGCGAAATATGGAATTTTAGCTTTATTGGCAAAATATGGATTGGCAATATGGGGAGTCACACTATGATGGCTAAAACATACATTTTTATAATTTAATATCAAAGTGCCAGAAAGTAGCCAAAATTAAAAATGAATACAGGGTTATTTGAAGCACAAAATTGGCTATCTCTGAAAAATCAAAATAAAATAATCAGAAATTGATGTAAACTATAGAAAATGCATTAATAAACTTTTAAATTTGGCAAATAAACATTGTTAAATATACATTGCAACACTTTGCCTTAGGATCTTAGTTTCATTCCCTCCTAGAAAGGGACTTTCACAAGCTGTCAGGAAAAATTTCTTAATTTTTTTCACTATTGTATGAAGCAGGCCCCCAAATCGAAAATCCCCCAAACCCCAAATTGAAAATCCAAACGGACGAAAATTTTATGGTCAATTTCTTGGCTTTTGTTGCTCTGCATAAAATATTTCATGAAATGTTAATATTTTCATATATACATATAATGAATATTATCTAATGTGTTTATTAGCATGCACAAACAATTTTTAAAGAAATTGAAATAAAACTGGTATAATATATATTTTCTATGAACCGCCGCTGGTGCTGCCTGATACATAAACCAATGGTTGAAAAAATGAAAAGGAAAGAAGTTTGCTGGTTAGAGGAATAGAATGAGCGATGTGATATTGAAAAGTGGGGGTAGTGCTAATGAGCACACTTAAACTAGATTGAAAAATGCAACAGGCATACGGACAGAAAATTTTGCAGACTAAAATCTCTAAAGGGTATTTATGTGAAAAATTTATTTTTCCGCAAAAAATATATTTAACTTCTCAAACAGTCTCGGCTGCTCTTAGCCTCTTTACCTTGCAATGGTCACACTTTCGGTGAAGAAATAAGCGAGAAATTATTTTGTCAGTAGAATTTATTATGTGTGCGCGAAGGCCAAGGTCAACACCAATTTACTATTTCACTAGGGGCTAAATCAAAACCAAAAAAAGATTCGAATTTATTCATAAAAAATAAATATGAAATTCTTATTGTTATTTAAAAAATATCAATTTTTACTTTTTAAAATTTTGTCCGCTTCCACAATAACGCTTAACACCGTTTCCAAAACTTCAATAAACATACGACCTCCAAATCCGTGAGTCAACTTAAAAAATTTTCATTATTGAACAAAAATTAGACAAAAATAAAATTAACCAAAGTATAATTAGATAATTCTTGCTGCAACTTTTCATCCAAGTGTGGAGTTCGTGGATCAAACTTCAGAAAAGAATCAGCAAGCGGCGTACGGTCAGCACGGTGGAGGTCGAGAATGCGTTGAAGTAATGCGCTAAATTATAAAAAATACTAAAATATTTTTAAGCTATCATACCTAGCATAAAAAAGTCCCATACGACGATACATGGAAGCATCCTGTGAGTTGTGGACTTCTACAATAAAAATAAATGTAAAAATTTGAAGAATCTTCGGATCGTCGTTTAACCCATGATATCCCTGTCTTGTCACTTATTAATTTAATAAAATACCTATGTCACCAAGAACATATTTAGCCACTTCCTTCAACGGATAATGCTTTGAATTAACCAAGTTAAAGTCACTAGCAATCTAAAAATATCTCTATAACCACATATTTTTAAATAAATTAAACCTGCGCCACTTCTTCCTCAACAAGACTTGAAAAACAAGTTAGTTGAACCTGTCGGCGTCTGCCTTAAAACTCATTAATTTAGAATGAAATATTTTTTTCAATAATTGAGATTACCCGAGGTCAATTCAACACCATAACTCTAAAAAAAATATTTAAAATTAAAAAAAATATTTAAAAATTTTAAGGTAATACTTTGGCCCCCTTTTTCCTTTTTCTCTACCATTTTGAAAGCATTTTTGTTTAATATATAATTTATATCACTCGAAAGAGCTCTTCGAGCAGGGTCAAATGATACCAATATCGGTTAGATTTGATGATTCTGAAGAGTTATAAAGCCCAAAAACCTTTGTGGCACTGTAAGGGGCCTCAGCTCTAGGAACTCTTTCGATTGATACATAATTAGCCATGAACAGAAAAAATAGAACAAAAAATGGAAGATAAACCAAAGTATTACCATCCTTTAAAATCATACCAAAAGTTGTTCACGGAGAATTTTCCCCCCATCCTTGTTCTTAGCCTTTCGCAAAATTCCACCAAGCACAGAAGCATTTAAGCATTCAGGCGGAGACAAACGGCGTTGAACCTCAGCGATTGTAACTCGATATTTCTTCAAATTAGAAAGAAGAGTCAATCGACCTGGAACAGTGCAGTAAGTCTCATAGCTCTTAATTGGATGTAACGGTGTTGGATTTATAATTGGAGACAATAAAGTGTTGTTGTTTGGCAAAGCATTTTCTTTATTGTCGTCCATCTCATAATCATCGAAAGAAGCTTCCACCTACAAAATAAAAAATAAATGAAGATGTCAATATTCACGAAGCTTTTTAATGTTCCTAGTGTTGGATAGCTAACACGATTTTAATAATCTGAGTTTAAACTTTGAAAAGTTCCCACCTTTTCTGTGCTAGTACTCATATCAGTTACACCACTATCTTCACTGTACGAGTTAGTAGTCAAATTCATAGTAGACATATTAATATTTATTTATAAAAAATGCTAAAATTTGAAAAAAAAATAAATTTAATGATTTGTATGATTGAAAAATATGTAGTTGTCAAGCGTATGAAGAAAAAATGGAAAAAGCTTGTGTTAGAGAAAACAGAAAATATAGTTGATAAAGAAATTCTTGATTAAAAAACTAATTTAAGATAAATTAAAACTTCTTTAAACATTTAGTCCGGAAATCGAATTTTTAAAAAAAATAAAAATTTTTTCACGTAAAAAATAAAAAAACTACACGTTAAAAAATTCTAAAATATCTATTAATGAATGGAGAGGTAATGAAGGGAGGGAAGGAATGCCATGCCGGCAACCCTTGCTTTTATTCCTCCTCCTCAAGCCTTCTTTGTTGACGACGCCTTTTTGATCAAAAACGTCAATTTCATCAAAAAAGGTTCTTTAGATAGTGTAGTAACTTTCCCTCATTCCAAATTTTTCAAAAAATTGACCTTTCTTCCCATCATTGTAAGTGATTATGAAATTGTGCTTAAGGAATGTAAGATTAGCGCTGGCATTTTTCTTCTTCTACGGCACAAAAAATCAGGTGGAAAAATGGCTGAAGGCTATTCAATAAGAAGCAAAATTTTGAATTACTGTTAGAAAAATGTTCAGAGAACTGGGGTGGACCCCTTTCAATGTCTTAAGTTTTTAGGTGAAAAATCTAAAAAATTAATGCTTAAAAATGCAACAAAAAATGTCCACAGAAAAAATAAATTTTAATGAAAAAATATATAAATGTATGCATTTGGTTAAGAAGAAACCCTTGTTAGTAGCGCAATCTCATTAACATGATATTTCAGGATATTCCAAAGTAACTTCGCTTTAAAGTTGGAATCTGTATCAGGCCTTAAGTATCCCTACTAACAAGGCAAGAAAAGGAAAAGTTTAAAACAATATAAAAATATAATAAAGTCGAGATTAATATTTTAAAATAGGGCTGAAACCGAACCCTAAAAACGTCAAAGATATCATTGTTAGTATAAACATTGTTACACTCCCCAATGAATTCTTCATTCTGTTTCCCAGTGCTGAATTGCATCCATCACCTTAACAAAGAATTAGCGTGAAATCTTTAATCGTGTTTGTCAAACCATAGCAGCAGCAGAACGTCTGTGTAACAGGATAAGTTGAAGTATTTTGACATACTGAGTTCGGCGTCATTGTCATCTATATAAATATATTTTAGAGGATAATTCAGGGAGCCTATTCCACGAAGTGACATTGACTTTAAATGACAATGTCCAAATGTCAATTGCGACAGCTTGGAATTCCATTGAAGTCAATGTCGCTTTGTAATATTTAAATTTAGATAAAGCATACAGTTCCAGCAATTGTACAATTGACAGACTGACAAGAGCGCGTTACTGTTCCCTTAAAATGAGTTGTATTAAAAATTATTTCCGAGTATTTTCTTCGTTACCTGGCTATAATCGACAACCTTGATGCACGAAAATGACGTATATCCACAATCAGTAGGGGAGCCACTAATCTTTAATTTGAAGGAAAACTTTATTTTACGTGAAAAGACAAAAAACTAACGGCCAATTGATACCCTT